GCCTGCTGTGTGATAGTGTATATGTACAATGGCAAAAAAATAGTACCAGAGGAGTCAAGGAGTTTTTGATTGCAGTCCATGTGTCTGTGTTCACAGACTAATAACAATAATCTTTGCTAACTGACTGCAGCCGTCTGTGTGTTTGTGCTCATGTGAAATGGCTCCCGTCGAAACTTTTTTTTTTTTTTTAAAGAGACCCAAAGACCCAGAAAGTACACGTTGTAGCGTGACAGCTTTATCTCCTCCTTCTCCTCTTCCTCCTCCCCCTCGTGGTCTGGAGGTCCAGCTCAGGAGATAAAGACGTCGGCCTCCTAATCTGCATCCTGCCATGCAGACTCCTTGATTGGTTTATCAACCGACCTTCTCTTCACCTTGTGGTGCCACATTGATTCACACTCTGTTTTAAGGACTGTGCACAAAGTAAGAACTTATCCTGGACCAGCTCATGATAACGTTGACCGTCGAACGTTTATTCTCTGTGGCAGAGAATAAATGAAGAAAATTAAGATTCAAGGCAGGTTTTGGTTCATGATGATGTTTATGAGCTGCAATTTTTACGTCGTTGAGTTATGCCTTTAACTAGTCCATGACCAGAAGTTCTTTTCATCTCCGTGTACTGATTTTTTTAAACTAAGACTACGATGTAGACTGTCATAACATCCATTAATGTTCTCTGAAGTCTTCATCTATCCCCTCTGTCCAACATCTCCAATATCTCCCAAAATGCTCCACCTTAACCCCCACTCTGCTCATTTCTGATCCCTCCCGTCACCCTCAGGGAAGATCACAGCATCATCATCTCCTCCACTTTCTCCATTAGTTTTCGTCGGCGTGGCTGTCAGTGCTGTGAACTGCAGCAGTCAGAGCGATGACTTGTGTTTTCTCTTTTTTGGGGAGGGGTGTTGGTGATAAGTGTTAAGTGCTAGTCAAATACTTAAATGGCTGTGGGGAAACGTAGCTCCTTTGTGTTGTGACACTTGCATAACGGTGCTGTCTGTGTAAACATCAGTCACTGATGCTGCTGCTGCTGAAACCAGATCCATTAACCCTGAGTGAGCATCGTGATGGAACCGGAGAACAGTGTGTGTCACAGTCAGATGCTAATGTGTTTTCACCAAACTCCAGCTCTGTTCATACAACCTGCGTCTCCCACACGGAGAGCCACTCATCAGACAGGGGGCAGCGGGATTATAGCTGAGTCCTCCGGTTTCTCCAAACAACAGCATTTTATCGTACAGCGATCAAAGGTGTTGTAATGATTACAGTTTTTTAATCAGTTATTCACCAAAACATCTGTTCCTTCCTGCTTCAACTAAAGACTCACCAACAGACCGACCAGTTTTAGGAATTGGTCTATACTACATGGTCTGTCCCAACAGGCATTTAATGTTGTGTTGTGCTACATTAACAGCCTAAGCTAATCATAGCGCAACAACTGACTTTTGGACAAGTTACATATAATGTTCATGCTAAATTGAGATGCTGGTGGACAGACCTATACTATTCAGACCTGTTGTACAAAATTTATCAGATATTGGCGTTAGCAAGTCACACTTCTGAATAAAATTGTAATCAATCAAAATATTTCACTAGATGCATCTCAAGTATTAACCCATGCTTTTTTTCTATTGGTTATCTAACCAATAGAAAAAAAGCATAAACATATGCTTCTAGTTTGTTTTTAGACTGTGGTTGTCACATGGGAAAGGTGGACTGTTGATTCTCCAAGCCATAGAGAATCCTTTGAAGAAAAATCAGTGATTTATCGCTGTCTCCACCAGTCAAGTTCAAGTGTTTGGCATCATGGCATTAGTGTCCAAATTGATTTACTTTGGTAAAAACACAACAAAAGAGGCAGAAGTTGAAGCACAACCTCTGTGTCAACACAAGCCAAAATTACAGGTTTTCCAACTCTACTTAAATGCCAGATACAAATCTATTGATCTGGAACACTTTTTAAGTTCTGCAGTTCCACCAGTTAATTTCCACCGGCGACAACAGTCAACAGACAAACTTAATTTGCCTTCTTGTCAAGTTTTTTGGTTTGTTTCCACTGATGAACCGCAACTATTCCAGAGTGTAGTTATCCACTTACCTTTATTTTGCAGTCAGGTCTTTTTGTGTCAAAGGTTTTTTGTTTAACTGATTTACTTTTTTGAATTGCCTTCATGTCAACTGGTGGTCTACAGTTGACAGTGTTGTCCATAAACAGCTCTTTTGCCAATCAACACAGTAATTGCTCGGCTGTTGACGTGCTACTGAGAGGCGGAGAGACTTAATCACGTCAAGATAATGATCAGTTCCAGCTGCCGTTTGTTGTTTGCTGACAGTTAAAAGCTTGTTTTTTCAGATGCGTGTCAATACGACAGCAGCGAGACGTTCCGCCTACATCGGCGACTCTCAAAGCTGCTTTGTTACGATTGTGTCCTGCTGAGTGAAAATCTCTGAGAGCTGATGAGACCTTAAACCCAATACTTCTGAGAAGAAAGATACTTTCAATTTATCGTTTGATTCTTTCTTTTTCTTTTAAATTGCTGTTTTGATGCCAGACGCTCATCCTTGAAATACATAAAAAAACTGGAGTTAATTGATTTAATCTCAGGTTTTTTTCTTTCTTTCTTTGTTCAAGGCCACAATTGATTTAAGTCACATCATAAAATATACATATTTGAGTCTGCCCTGCTGTCAGGGTTTGTCTGACTAATAATTACTCCAATTAGCAGAAAATGAATCACCCTACAAGCGTGTTTGCTTTTTCCTCACCCTCATACCTATTTACTTTTCTCATTTGCAATTCATAGCTTTAAGATGATGCTTTTGTCAGTCAGAAGTTTCCAACATGACGCCGGCAGTCTATATTTAACACATGGCTGAGTGTGAGCTGCTTGTCAAACAGAAAAACAAAGAAAGAAAGAAAAAGCCCTGATGCCCGGGGTAAATAGTTCAACAAAGAGTTTTCCTCTACTGCTGTATATCAGGTCTACAGTCTCACCTCATTCTTATTCTTTTTTTTAAATTGCTGTGAGCACAGACATCAGTGCCAACATTAACAACAATCCTGGTACAGAACCCAGAGCTAACATTAGCTACAACATCCTGCTTCAGACTGCTGAGCTAACATTTGCAAAAACAGTCCTGGTACAGACACCAGAGGTAATGTTAGCTACAACAGTCTTGCTGCAGAAACCTGGAAACCTGAGCTTTCATTAGCTACAACAGTCCTGCTGCAGAAACCTGAGCTAATGTTAGCTACAAGAGTCCTGCTGCAGAAACCTGAGCTAACATTAGCTACAACAGTCCTGCTGCAGACAGCTGAGCTAACATTAGCTACAACAGTCCTGCTGCAGACAGCTGAGCTAACATTAGCTACAACAGTCCTGCTGCAGAAACCTGAGCTAATGTTAGCTACAAGAGTCCTGCTGCAGAAACCTGAGCTAACATTAGCTACAACAGTCCTGCTGCAGACAGCTGAGCTAACATTAGCTACAACAGTCTTGGCACACACTGCAGCACAGATTTCTGGACCTAGGTTTGCCTCTCCTGGTCAAAGATAAGTTTGTTGAAGTTATGTTTGAAAGTTTGTAAAAGCAGGACTTGAAGTCCTTGTTTGCACCTTGCCATGTAGCCTACTAACAATGTAGGTTTAGTCAGAAATATTCCCATGTCAGACCTGGCGCTGACATGGGAATATTCAGTACTAAATCCTGTATTTTTTAAACCACTAAGTAATGTTTATCTGTAAAACATCACTGTGTGGGATCAGCATTTTCCACATGATTTATCCCTGTAAATATATATAAAAACACATCATATGCATCAGTACTAATTATACAACATGTCAGTTCCGTGCCTGCTAATCTGTTCTGCTCAGAACCTTCTGATTGTTGATTTAACTGTTGTCAGGAAAATTCAAATGAGGTACTTCATTACAGGCCTTGGGAGGAATAAAGTCTAAATATGTTTGAGTTAGAAAAAAAAAACAAACAGTCTAGCTGAAGGCATTACACATAATTAGAGGTAGAATCACAAAAACCGTCCTGGAGTGAATGGAGGATCTGATTACTGATGTTAATCTCATTCACTGTAACACAAATATCCAATATCATGTTCTCACTTTGGTGTATTACAAGCAGCGCTGGCGCCCCCTGCTTTTACTGATGAAAAGGCTTAAGGCACACGGAGAAAGTCAGGCTTTAATTAAACACCAAGGCTTACATACGACAGGTTTAAAACAGGTTTTAATACGGAGGTTTAAATTCAGTCTGTTCTGTCCACTCAGGTCAGTGACTTCAGAGCACAGACACAATGACCGACTCATGTTTTTAAAAAATAATAATTGAAAAATGAACTTAGGTGGCATAGGAAAATACTTACACAGATGTGAAGTCGTCCTTCTGTAGTTAGTAATTCAGAGATGGGATATGATTATAATTATATATTTTTATTACATTTCATTGTTTGACACAATAAAAGCAGTTCATTAAATTGTAATTAATGTTGGTTGACAACTGAACTAATCACATAACAAGGTGAAGAACAAAACCTATTCCTATTAAGACTATTTATAAAATAAACACAGTGCATAATGTTGTAGTACACACTAAAATACCTACAGACAGGGTTACTACTAAAGAAATTAACAAAGATGGAAAAAAAACTCTATACACTAGGGGGAGCCCATGTACCGCCAGTGGTGCATGCACCATATATTGAGAACAGCTGGCTTAAAAATTTAAAATTGATGTTACTTTGGTGATAATTCCATGACAAAAAAGCTACAAATTTCGGACAGAATTTTTCGTTATTTGACCAGAAATCATCTGTTTATTCAAATTACTCCAGTTCTGAGTCCACTGGAAATCACAGTCAATGCTTCACTCTGCCCAGTGTTTGTCCAGCAAATGGAGTTCCACCAAGTTTTACTTTGAAAACATTTGCTGTTTAATGACAGTCGCTGCTTTAATTCACTGTTTCATGATTTTTACTTCCTGTCTCTACAGGTGATCCTGATCCTGACCAAGCTGTATGACTTCCACATTGGCAGTGTCACTGAGAGTACACTCTGGAGGCGAGTACACATTCAATTATATACATTGTTTCTACCTGGTTAATGTCCACAAGTGATCTAAGTGTTCTCTGGTGGTTCCCTGAAGCCCTGTTTCCTCTCACAGCCCAAGGAGCTGCTCAATAGAGGAGTAGGTTGATCAGACTTTAAATTGACAGTATTTATGAATGTGAGTGTAAATAGTTGTTTTTCTTTATATGCGGCCATGCAATGAACTGGGGAACTGTCCAGGTGGGATTGCCTCCATTGCCCCCCTTGACCCTGGAAAGGAATAAGCAGTAGACAATGAATGGTGGATTTAAAATAAGGGGAATGTCACAGCACAGTAAAGGTGCAGGTTGTTGGTTTTATCAACGTTGTTGTTGCTGTGGTTGAACATCCTACAGTTGCATTGAGATATCATTGACTACAGTTGACCAAAGCTGAAGGTCTAGCTCTTTCAGAATAAGCTGTTTCATTCAGGATCACAGACTGATCACATTTACTTCTCTCACAGTACCTTCCTGCAGTGGTTTGGCGTATTAAACCCTGTTGAAGCTCAGCTTCAATGGCCTTCAATGGAGCAGCACTGATTAGATTTATTACCTCATTAGAGTCAATGAGGCAGTAGGCCGGTAGAGATGCTCGTCTTCTGCATGCTGATTGGACGAAGTGTTTATGAAGCAGAGTCACTTTCTGTATTACCAGCACTCTGTGTGTCAGTCCTTTGGTTTGTGTTTGTGAGAGAGGACTAGTGACAAACTGCAGTCTGTTGTCTGTTGTCAGTTTACTCTTCAAGATTTTTTTTTTTTTGTAAAATGGGCTGTTTTCTTGTCTTAGTTTTTCTTTCTTTATTTTTTCAGACTTCAGAATCCTGCAGAGCAGAGCCAGGAAATATTTTAAGAGTCTGGTTCACACTCAGAAAAACATGAGGGAAATGTGTTTTTTATATATATATATATTTTATATCTACTGATAAAAAAGTACTAAAAACAACTTTCCCTGCTGGATGTTGGTTTGTTGCTGTTAAATTCAAGCTAATTCAGTCTAATATAACAATGACTGTAATCTGTCATTCCTTTTTTACTGTTGAACCCCAGCCTATAGTTGGTTCCTGCAAATAACGTGTACTGTAGCTCCAACTGCAGCAGATCCATTAGGTGGAAATCACATGACATCTGTTGACAACTGCATTTTAAGATGACGCCAGGGGTCGTCCTTAAGGGGCCTCTGTCAGTGCACAGCCCCTGGCATTGAAACACCCTGGGGGATCGTACTGAGTAATACATGACACTCGAGGGCAGGAAGCAGTTTCCGACTTGTTGAAATGACACGGTGTTCCTCCCTCCGTCACTCGTCTCAGAGATAAACCTGTATCTCGTACCAGCCCACCGCAGAAAAACAGAATTATTTGCACAGCAGATAAAACGCATTAGGATAGAAACGTTTCTGCTAAAGGCTAAAAATGTACGCAGTGTTTGTAGCAAACATCTTGTACCAAACAGTTCGGTACAAAACGTCCGTGGATGTGTCAAAACTAAGGCTCACAGTTAATGCGACAATAATAAGTCAACACAAATGACTTTTAACCCAATTTCATAAAACGTGTAATTAAGGCATGAACCTCCTGTGATTTGACCCCGGACCCTCAGTGAGGGTCAGAGCGCGGATTCTGCTGATAAACTGATGAATGAATATTAGCTTTCTACAACAGAGCTAAGTACACGGTTAAGTACACAGATTGTACATGGACTGTAATGATAATACCAATGAAGACACATACAATAACAGATCCTAACATTTACAACAGCTTCAGTGAAGTGTTTCCTGCTGGTAGAATTAGAGGCTACTCATTGATAACTGATGAATACACACACACACATAAAAGGTCTGTGACCTTTCTGTTCACCTGCAACAGTACAAATGAAGCAATGAAGAAAGTACAGCAATCAAATCTCTTCTGATCAGTTAAATGGAAGGTTTTGAAAGGCTGTGCAGTGGAGTTGAATTACTGTATACTGTATATATAAATATATATATATATATACATGATCTAGCATCTTCATCTTCATCTTAGAACTAACTTAGAACGATCTAGCATCTTCATCTTAGAACTAACTTAGAACCTACAGTTATATATGGTCAGATGAGACATGCCCATGAGTCATCTGTGGATCAGGATCTTCGACAACCGCCCGGCCGATTCCAAATGTTAGAAGGAAGTGCTTTACCATTTCACGGCACCTTGTCAGGGCAAAAGCTTTTAGCTGAGAGAATGTCAAGCTTTTAACAATGTGGAGGTGTCAGCCTGACATTCACTGTGGCCAATAAGAGGCATCAGGAATATGGATGAAACGTGTGATTAGTGTGAGGAAACCAATATGTCAGCCACACTCCGTGGAGTGAAGTTCCCAACGATGCTGGAGAACGGACCTCCAGGCACGCAGGCAGATTTACAGCATCAGCCCTCAGGTGAACTTTCGTCATAATGATCTGCCCGGCAACCAGGGGGAAATAGTTCTGCCTAATGAAGGAAAACTGATTAGTTTTTTTTCTCCGCAATTATTTTGTAAAACGCTACAAACCAAATCCATACGCACTTCCTCTGGACGTTGGCGGTTTCTCAATGTTTTTATGGAGGGGCTAAATATTGTCACAGGATTTGATGTAATTGCTAATTTTCTACCTCAACGAGCCACCGACTGTGGACTGTAGACAGATACATTAATGGTTGTGATGGAGATGGTGGGGACAGGTAAAAGAGTTTAAATCAACATACCGGAACAGTGGAGGAGAAATGGAGCAGTCTCAGATGGATCTGACTGACGTCAGCGTCATTTCATAACTGACATTTCTACAGCCTCGGCGTGAGTTAATTACAGTGTATTATTAGTCTGAGGTCACAGACGTGTGGTTTCCTTACAGCAAAAAATGTGACTTGTTTGATTTCCAGCTCTGTGACTGTGTTTCCTCTGATTTAGCTGAGTCACAGTTCGTCTGTCCATCCATTAACAGGTTCTTTGACCTTTGACAGTGACACATTGACCTCTCAATAATAGCCTGAGTGGCTTGGTCACTTAATTAGTTCACGACTAGTCCAAACACGTGGAGTGTGGCTCCACACAAACAGAGATGACTGTAGAGCTGTGGGCCAACAGTCTGATAAAATCATTAAAGTTAAACAACAGTTTATGAACCACAGGTACAATTCTGACATTAATTAAAATGAGTTTATTTAGAGCAATCTGTTTTGAACCATTAAAAAAATAACTGTTTTCATTAAGTCATGTATATAGATGAATACATATTTATGTATATATAATATATGTTTTATATATGTATATATTATATATACAAAATATATGTAATTTATATGTAAATGTGAATTTATATGCGTGTCCTTTTCAGTCATATTTATTTTATTTCTTTGGCAGAAATCTTTTCCAAAAACATTCTGTCAAAAAAAGACAAACTGCAAAACATCAAAGAAAAACAGCAGGAAAAATATTTTTTTAATTTATTTTTTTACCTTTCAGAGTGTTTGTTTGAAAAGATGATTAAATAGAGAACATTGTTTCACAATCTAAACAGTGGGAATGTCAGTTGTGAGCATTTCCTGTGATGATTTTTTTTTTCGTCTGAAAAAAGCAATTAAAAACAAATCTACTAATGAAAAAGTATATAAATAAGTACTTATAGACTTTTAATAATTTAATAATTTTTTGCCAAAGTTTTGTCCTGAATATTTGTCTTCTTTGTGGCAGAAGACAACTATTTATTTGACCATTTTCTGTCCGTTAGTGTCAGCACTGTCAATAAGTTTTACTCTAGAGAATTTTCTCTTCACTCTAATAAGCGTTGAATCTTTGACAGTTCAGAGTAATCGGAGTCAGTGAAGTCACCTACTGTATCAGTGGAATAAAGACGTGGAGGTTTCACTTTGGTCGGACATGGGGGGGGGTCGTCAGATCTCCCGACCCAGTCAGTCACCCGTGGAGCCCACAGTGATAGAGCAGCTGTCCAACCACACCTGACTTCACGCCCTCCAATTGAACAACACATTGAAGAGAACCTAGAAGACAGTCAGGGTCAGAGTGGACCGAGCTGAAGGGAGACCGTTTGATAAAGAGGTAAAATAAGAGGATGTGACAGATAAAAGGCATGACACGACAGGTCTGCTGACACAGAGTCACTGAGCAGAAACCTGACTTCATGTTTCATGTGGACTGTTGTCCAACACTCATCCGGCTGATGGAGATCACAGTGTCATCAGGGTTCGGCCAGCAGCTGATGGGAAGAGTCTTCATCTATATGGAAGACCGTGATCCATTTTTGTATGTTGCTGTATGTTGTTTCCAGAGCCAATGAGCAATTGTTTTAAATAATCTGAATCGTATGTTAATCTAAAGGTGAACATGCTTCCTCAGACCATGGTTTGACACATCCACCAAGGATGGGGGCTCCGACCGTGACTAGACAGACTTCAGGTCCATACAGTAGAACCCACTGGTCTTTATCCCAGTGTGTCTGTGAACAGGAGACTAAGCCTCTACACTGCTTAATGTTTGACTGTATCAGCAAACCAAGCTTTGTTTTACAGAGTCAGTAGAAAAAAAAGTAAAAGCAATAAAAAACAAACAAACCAGCATTTAAACGCCTATGCATTTCGTTTGTTTAGACTGTGACATTTAAACGACTATGCATTTCGTTTGTTTAGACTGTGAATCGGCCTTTTGAGAATTGTCCTCATGTTGAAGTATTATTTACGACAGGCCTCGTGCTTGTTTGTAGATATTCAGACTGGGGTTAACTCCCAGTGACAGCAGAGAGTTAACAATCTGCTTATGTTTCCGTCCTGTGACTGTGTAAATGTGAGAGAAAAAACAGCTGCTGTTTTCCATGTTTTTACACGGGGGAGGTAATGGACTGAGCTGTGCTCACAGTATGTAACAGAAACGCTGCGTTCCACTGACGCTAATGTGCGGCTGATGTCTTTTATGTAGTGTTTGTGTCTTTGTTTGGTG